CCTTGTCTACCACCCCGTCCAGCACCCACCCCCGCCTCTCCCCCAACATATACCCTTTCAGGCTGAGATGTTTTGGGAAGCTGGCTCATGCACGAGTTTGGGAATGCCCTCATCTTGAAAAGCCACAGAAGACGGGGAACGGGTGACCCCAGGATCAAGCTCAGGAGCCTTGGGGTACTCCACCGGAATTGGGGGGAGGTAAAGGAGTGAGGAGTAGAGAGCGGGTTGAGAGTGGGAAGAGAACAGCCTCAGCTTGACAGCTCTGACCGTGGCCCCGTCTGCTCAGCGTGGCGCCCCACCACCTAAGGGGCACAGAGGCTTCCTCGGGTGTGTAGAAATAGCCATCTGTGGGCAGGTGTTGCTGGAGATGGAGAGAGAGTGGGAGGAGAGGAACGGGGAAGCCACGGGCAGCATGGGCAACCAGCCCTGGGCCTGTGGTTAGGCCTCCTGGCTTGCTTTGTCAACCAGGAGCAGTCAGGGTATTCTGGATTTCACTGTGGGACAGAGTCCTACCATGGTTCAAATTTCGGAGGAAGATTCTGAGGGCTTCCCAGTGTGCTGCTGAGTTGGGGCTGGAGGGATGCGTCTGGGCCCCCGTGCTCTTAGCTTCATCCTTGTAGGCACTTTGCTTGAAAGAAGGAAAGGTTTATCCTGAGATTTGTTGGTCCACCCTGAAACCGGATAGAGCGGGATGTTTCTGCCAGCGTTGGTGATGTCAGGAACTTTGTGAATTCTCATCCTCCATAGGAAGAGCCTGAAGACTTTCCTCCGTGCAGAAAGTGCACCGGGGAAAGGGTGGCTCTTGAGTTTAGAGTCTTACTGTTGGTGAGGTGCCCACTCGTCTTAGGTACGTGTAACCATTGTCAGAGTGTGCATGTGCCGGTGGTTGGCAAGAAAGGAAGTCCACACATGCTCACCCACCTGAGCCAAATTGTGAGATTTTTTTCATTTTCTCCTCCCCAAAACAGATGCTGTCGCCGCACTTGAAATATGCTGTTATGGTTACAAACTCAATTGCTTTTCGTGCCTCTAAAATTGGTTTTGGCTTTCTCTGATCCTGTCGCGATAAAGGCTTGGACATTCAATCCGTACACTCCACTGGCAAATCCTCAGAGAAATACCTCTCTGAGTCAATGGAGTAGGTCAGGGAGGCCTCCCAAAGCCACTCCTGCCCCCGGAGACCACTGTCAAACACCCAGAGGGTTGACTGGATTGCTTAGCATGTGGAACTTTTGTGACTCATTCTTGATGTTGGGTTACTGATTGCTGACCAGGGAGTTGCCAGTTCTTCAGCTTGCACGCTGCCACTGTAGAGGGTGGGTGTTTACGAACAGGTGACTTGAGGTTGAAGCCTGGTGTGGGAAATGGCCTCTGGATGGGGGAAGTGATGCTACCGAAGGAGGAAGTCACCCAATTATATCGCTGAGCAATTGACGAGGCAGGAAGGATTCTCCTGATTATGTGCCAGAGTCTCCTGGTTTGGCTGTTGCTCTGGGCAGAGAGTACTGCTCCTTTGAAAGAATAGGCGCAAACTCCAGGTAGAGTCTAGGGTTACGGAGGATCCCCTGAGGGTGCCCCCTTGGAACAAGTCGATAAAAAGGCCGTTGCCCTCTTAACTTTTTCAGCCTGCCCTACACTCTTGGGATCAGGGCCTTCCCTGCTCCTAGATCTTTGGACTGGATTCTTCCAGAGTCAGTTTCTCGCTGATCACCTGCTACCCACACTCTCTCTCAGCCTGTTTGGCTCTAAGTGAGCACGTTCATTTTCCCAGCAGTGGCAACAGTGGCTTCAAGGCTGCAGTCCCAGTGCTGTTCAAGAATTCCATCCTGTGTCGTTCACAGGCCTCATCAGAGGTCTGGCAGTGGGGTGACAGTCGTGGGCCAGCTGTTCATTCAAAAACTATCCAAACAAGCCAGGAGCCACTCATCCTAGCTGAGGGAATGCTGAAGACACGTAGACATGTTCAGGGCCAGAGCCTGTGTCTGTCTCTCTGAAACTTGGGTTCTACAACATTGCACTTTTGACTCTTAGACCTGACTTGGCCAGAAGGGCAGCTTCACCTGCCCCATCTCCATAGTCGTGGAGCTGTTTCGTGGTCAGGGCTGGTGGTCTTACGCCAAAGAGCTAAGGCAAGTTGGTGAGCTAAGAGGAAGACTTCTCTCCTCAGAAGAATGGGAGAAATAAGGACAGAGAACTTGCCTTCTGTGGCCTGGGACCTACCAGCCACAAAGAGCCCCAAATAGCGAACAGATATGACAGTTTCTGTCTGAGAAGGCTTGCTCACCTGTCGTTCCCCGGGGAGGGCTCTCCCGCTGCTGAGGTCCCCCCCCCCCCCCCCCCCCCCGTCATTAGACAAACATGTGTAATAGGCGGGACTGCTGATCTTATTTCTTAAAACGACCTGGAGTTGTCCCCCCGAAGGGTCATTTTTGTTCCCTGAGTTATGTTAGACTTCTTGGCCAGTGGTTGTATTGGTCTGACTGTTTCTCTCGTTGGCTGGCTCAGAGTGGGCCCTCAGGCCATCAGATGGCTTCAGGTGAGAGCAGTGGCTGGTGGCCCTGAGCTCTTACCTCAGCTGGCAGCTCTGGAGAAGAGGAAGACAGGAGGGCTTGTTCCTAGTGAGAACTCCAGGTAGGTTTTGGAAGGCGATGCAAGGAAGAAAAGAGAGGGAAACTCCTAACTAACTAGCTAAATAGTGTCCCAACTATTTTGAGAACTCAATAAAACAATCACATCAAATATGAAGAGGCATAAATCTTGTGTCTGCACAGGTAACCTACTCAATTGCTTTTATTATCGCTCAGGCTGCCTCCATTTATTACCGTCCACAGCCTGGGCAAAGGAGGTTGCATAGAGGGTGGTCTCCAGTGCAATCCTACACCCTGAGAGGCAACAATCAGCCCATAGAGCCAGGGATTTCGATGGGAGCTCGGGAAGGGCCCATCTGTCTGCATGAAAACCAATCAATAACTCTGTAACCAGAGCCCTTGTCACAGGGAAATGGACAACACAACAG